TNATATATATATATATATATATATATATATATATATATATATATATATATATTACATTATAAAATAGAAAATTCATAACACTTACCTTCATCACCAGTAATCTGTTGTTCAAGATGTAATTTATCTTGAGCTATTTCATACATGCCTTCTTCTATAGTATCTTCACTTAATAATCTAATTATGCTAACTGGTCTGAAAATAAATTTTAATATCTTTAGAGTTTTATTTATTTATTTATTTTTTAATATTATCTAGTAATTAAAAACATACCTTTTTTGACCTACTCTATGACAGCGATCTTCCGCTTGCTTATCATTATACGGATTAAAATCAATATCATGTATTATAACAGTATCAGCAGCTGTTAAATTGATCCCCAAGCCTCCAGCTTTTGTAGATAATAAAAATATAAATATATTTTCGTCTTCCATATATTGATTAATCAAACATTGTCTGTCAGTTACTGGTGTACTTCCATCTAATCTATTTTCATAAAAAATTAAAAGTAATAAAAAATATAAATGATAAAAACTTCAAAACAGACCTTAAGTACGTTTGTCCTCTAATTGTTAAATATTCTTCTAAAATATCTAATATCATCGTAAATTGACTGAAAATTAACACTCGATGTCCTTCTTCTTTCAACTTTGGTAACAATTCGTCCAATATTTTTAACTTTCCAGCTTGAGGAATAAGTTCTTGAGGTAAACCTAATCCAGCTATGCTCTTATATGTTCTTGTTAATTGATTTATTTGATAATCTGACATCCATTGTAAATCCTCAAATACATAATCTGCATTTTTCTGCTTATATGAATGTTCCTTTGCTAATCTATTCGATATTACCTAATGTAAAATTGTAAAAGATTTAAATTTCATATTATAAATTTATTCGTAATAAAGTGAAAAAATATTTTTATTATTTTTAAATTACGAATATACTTTTAACTTGGATTTGTTGTAATAATCTCGCACTAAAAGCGGATGATTAGCCAATTTTCTTAACTGCATCATCATTCCAATACCGTTAACCTCTGTGCTTTGATCAGCCTCGGCCGAAAATTCGGCAATTAAATTAGTATACATTTTTTGTTGCTTTTCTATCATTGGACATTTAATCATTCGTTCTTTTTTTTCTGGTAAATCTCTAAGAACTTCAGCTTTCAAACGGCGAAGCACAAATGGTCTCATGATTTGTTTTGCATTTTTCACTTGTTCTTGTTCAAACAATGGCTGTTCAGCATTTTTCTTAATTGATGGTAATTTCTAATATGTAAAATTCAATGTTATGTAAATATATAACTATCTTATATAAATATTATTATTATATTTAATACTTACAGGATTCTTTGAAAATAAACTTTTTAAATCAGCTTGTTTACCAGCAAATAGTGAAGGCATCACAAATATTAAAAGCGACATCAATTCCAATAAATTATTTTGCAAAGGAGTACCCGTTAGAAGAATTCGATGTTTAGCCTACGAAATAATCAGAATTATATAATTTTATTTATTTTTTTAAAAACATACGTGTACGTAATATAATATACATACATTAATCCTAACAAGGTTTTCATATCTGATAGTACCCATATTTTTTAACATATGAGCTTCATCGAAAACAACATAATAGAGAGGCATGACACGAAATAATCTCCGTTCTTCCGGTGTACTACTAATTAAATTATACGTAGTTAATAAAACATCCACATCATCCAAATCACCATTTCGCCAACCAAATCTCATTTCTTTTCGTTCTTCTTGAGTACCATAATATTGTACAACTTTTAAATCAGGAGACCATCTTTCTAATTCGTTATTCCAATTTTCTATGTAAATGAAAGCGAAAAATTAATAATAATATAAATAATAAATTAATAATAATATAAAAAAATTAATAATAATGTAAATAATAATATAAATAATATAAATTAAAAAAATCTATAATATTTATTTACCCATTGTCGAACTCGGAACTACAATTAAGTGTGGTCCATCTTTCTCGCCTTTGAGACCAGCTTCTTTTAAATATGTAAGAAAAGCTATTACTTGAACTGTTTTTCCTAAACCCATCTCATCCGCAAGTATACCATTAACATTTTGTGCATGCATTACAGCAAGCCAATTTAATCCAACCATTTGATATGGTGCTAATTTTAAATTTGGTGATAATCCTTTTGGTTGCTTTGTAATAGCTGATGCTCCTGCAGCAACAGCCCTTTCAATATTTGTAGACAAACGTAGACATTTCTTCATAAGAGCTTCTACTGCATGTCTAGTAGCTAATAATTCCTATTTTATTATAATAAAAGAATTTAATATATATACAATATACAAAATATATTTTTTTAATTATTATAAACAGCGGTAAAACATAATTCAATATAGATTTTAAATATAATATAATATTTACATGATATATAAATTGAAACAACTGATATGATATAATATGATTCTTATGATATATAATAGAAAAAATAATTAAATAAGTTTGTTATATCATAATGATCTTATTAAAAAAAAAATAAAAAATATATATATAATGAAATAATATATGAAAATTTGCTAACTATATTACGAGTGTTTAATTTCAATTAATTAATCATTTTCTCTTATAATGGTTCGCTAATACATATCAACTTTCTCACAAATCCGATTGTCAATTTTTAAATATATATAATTGCAAATATAAAAGTTATACTTCTTGTAAAAAAAATATTTTCTAATTATGTCATAATTTAACTTATATTTTCTAAATAGAACATTTGCAATAACTATAATTATCATTGTTGAATCTCTCTACAAAATTTTTCCAACAATATATTATAATAACTATTAGCTTAAATTCTATGATACAATCTAAATGGAAATTAAAACTATTACAATTTCTTGAATTGTTTACCTGTGCTGAATTCAAAAGCTCTGTATCTAGATATTTATTGTTTTGGAACTTTTGAACTATATCTATCCAATTTTCAAATGGCCTTGCTTCTATAATAGCATTTGCTTTTTTTTGAGAACATTGAGACATCAATAATAACTCTGATGTAAGAGCATTTTGCATAAATTCTAAGACTGCTTTCTTATCAGCAGTAAGCTCATTAGATATTTCAATATCTGAATCTTCATCACTATAAAGATTAAGAAATAAATACTAAAATTAAAACATGCAAACTTTCAGATACATACCTATCAAATACTTTATCTTTAAAACTTGCTTCATCTGAATCAATATCTATATCTTCTTCAGTGTTTAATTTTCTTCTTTTTTTCTTATTGATTCTTGAAGAATTTTTAAAGGTTCTTTTCCGACTATGTCTGGAAATTTCATCACCTTCTTCATTATTCCAATTTATATTATTAGGCATATCCTGTATAATAATGAATAAATAATGTCTTATTTAATATACCATTATTCATTATTAAAATAAAAGATATCATTTATATATATTATTTAATAAATCAAGTTAAATATAATTATATTTAATTATATTTCATTATTATTAATACTTTAATTAAGCATATACTTTATAATAATGAAATTACAAACAATAGTTACCTTTTCTGTAGAATCTAAAGAGTTAGTTTCTTTAGTACTACCAGCATCACTATCGCTATCTTCAATTATATTCACTGCCTTACGTCGAAATTGTATCTCAGATCCCATTAAATTACTATCATCATCCGCTAAACAAAAATACTATGATTATTTATAATTTCATTGAAAAATAATTATATAAATAATAATATTTTTTTTCATCTACAATTAAAAAAAGACAAATGTATTTTTTTTTATGTTCTTTATTAACTTTATTAACTTTAAATACAAGACATAAACTTAAAAAACATAATAATCATATTAGAAATTATTCTTGAATAACACAACAAGAAATGGACACCGGTTTTATTGACCTAAAAATTGAAATTCGAAAATAAAAAAACTCTTACACATATTCGACGGTTTCAGTTGTTTCTTCTGAAATCGAAATTGTCGTAAGTTTCCCGAAAGACTTGAACTGCTTGCATCTGTTTTCGGCGAATTCGAATCCGACATCTCGTTAAACGAATGAGAGACGCTGGCGAAAACACATTTTTATGAAGGCAGCTTTTAAACTTGTTTGACAGGTGCATTCGTAAAAGCTCCGAACTAAGAAAAGAGATAGATGTCCAACAGGTTAATATAGTTATCTATTTTCTTATAATTTCGTATATTTCATTTTTGAATTTTTAATGATTTACATAAATTTTTCTATGGCCATTTATTATTTTTTATTTTAGAAATCAAATAAAAAAGGAATATTAAAATTTATTTTATTTGAGAGAAGTTATTAATTATACAAAGTATAATTAATTAATAATTAATGTATAAATGAAATAAATTTATTATAATTACAAATCATTTGAATAATAATATAATCATGTAATATTTTTTTATGCAATTTTTTTTTTAAAATAAAATATAAATATTTGATAATTAAGATTAATAATTAAAATCAATAATTACATCAAAAATTTTATTTATATTATAAAGACTTGTTCAATTATTCTTCCAAATTTTTTAAATAATAAAATTAAATAAAGAGAATTAATAATATAATTTTATATACTTACATATGTACTTATATATATATTTTTTTAATATTATAATTTTTTTTTAAATAAATTATGTGGAAATTTTTCATACGATTTTATCCAAAAGATTTCGCAATTATAATATTCGTTTACTGTTATGTCAATTATATTGTAACTATGCACGTCATGCAGTATGTTAATCATATGAAAATTTTGTTTAACTTCTGCTAGCTGTCAATTGAAACATTTATCTTCATGTTAGTCAAAACTCATTTAAACAATAACAGCATGTTTCGATATGTTATATGCATAAAAAACAATAGAAAAATATAAGATGTTGTTGTATACTTTAGTAGGAGGTTATATGTTAACGTCAATGATACTTTTTAAATATCCAACGTTATTACATAAAAAGAAACAAGTGAAATTTATGTGCCATCATATCAGCCACAGAGGTGGTACGTTTTCGAATTTTCAGTGATTCAATAATTGATATTACATACATAAAAGATATATTTCTTAACAAAAAAAATTATTTTTCAGGGGCAGGTGAAGGATACGAAAATACAATGCACGCTTTTAAACGGTTAATTTAAACTTTTACTTATTATGCATAATTACTAACATAATGATTAAATATAATAAAATGATAATTAAAATGAAATAATAATAAATTAATAATAAAAATAATAATAAAAAAATAGAATAATTTAAAGTATTATTCTAAATGATTATTTTTATATTTTTAATTACATATAATGATTTTTAAAACATTTTCTTCTTTATTTCAGAGCTGTGGCAGTTGGTACAGAAATGTTGGAATTAGATTGTCATTTAACAAAAGATGGACAAGTAGTTGTATCACATGATCATAATCTTTTACGTAGTACAGGTACGAATAAAAGTATTTCAGAAATGAATTACAGAGATCTACCTCTACTAAAACCACGTCTTCCAATAGATTTTGATCCAGGTATATTTATATAATTTTTAAAATTATATATGTTTGAATAAAATGATTTAGAAACTATAGTTTCATAGATGTAGAATATGTTGGCACAGAAAAAGAAGAAGATAGACGATTTGCATTATTGAAAGAAGTATTTGAAGCATTTCCCAATATACCAATTAACATTGATATTAAAGTTAATAATGATGAACTTATAACAAAAGTATCAAATTTAATTAAAGAATATAATCGAGAAGAATATACTGTTTGGGGAAATTTTAGTGATGAAATAACACAGAAATGTTTTAAAACGGTAATTAATATATATATTGAAGTATATATATTGAAGTTAAGATAGATTAAAATACCAAGTCATAATATTCTATCTTATATTAAATCATAATATATATTAATTTCAATTATTTTTTTCCACAGAATCCTAATGTAAATTTATTATTTTCTATGAGACGTGTAACTCTATTAATAGTTTTCTTATACACTGGTTTATTACCATTTATACCTTTAAAAGAAACACATTTGGAGATATTTCTACCTTCTATTTATTTGAGGTGCTTTGAATGTTTTATTTGATAATTTATTTATTTAAATTACTCAACATTTATTGCTTTGTTACAGATGTAAAGGAAATCCAAGTCCAACATATTTACCTTTGGAAAAAGTAATTGTAAGAACTCTTAATGTACTTCTAATAAGACGGTGCTTATTTAATCATTTAAGAGCTCGTGGTATACACGTAAGTTGTCTTGGTTGTTTTTGAATAATAAATCAGAATAATATTTTAAATATAAAATAATTAAAAAAATATATAAATATAATTATAATATATTAAAATATTGAAATGTACTTTTATAGGTTTATTTTTGGGTCTTAAATAAAGAAGAAGAATTTAAGAAAGCTTTTGATCTTGGAGCTACCGGTGTAATGACAGATTATCCTACAAAATTGAAATTATTTCTAAATAATTTTTCTATTGAATAAGATATTAAATGCAATGAATACAAGTGATATTGATATTAGGTACATAAAATATTCATTGATTTATTTCCAATATTATAAAATATTACAAAAGAAGTAGAATTTTTAGATAAACAAATGCTATAAATTATGAAAAATATATTTTTATTCCATGCACATATTAATAATAATTAAGTAAGTAAAAATAGCTTATTTTTTAAGCTTATAATAGTTTTTAATAGCTTATTTAAAAAAAAATTGCATATAGCACAAGTAAAATAAACTTTAAAAATTGCATAATAAGATTACTATAATAAAATAATTTTTATTATACTATTTAAAATATATAAAATATTCAAAAAATATTCATAGATGTTGATAAAAATATGTTAATAATTTCAAAAACTTTCGGCCATATTCAAAAAACTCGATATTTTGATATGTTTGAAATAAAAAGTTCAATAACTGTAAATATATTTTTATAAAATAATTATTAATTTAAATTTTCATATATTAATATAATTAATTGTAAAACATCATTATGTTAACTAAATGTTAATTCGTGTTTATATAACTTTAAATATTAATTCGCATTTATTGCATGATTAATATTATTTTATACATTTTACTAAAACAAACAAATTGAGATCCAAAGTCGTTAGTAAGTCGTAAGTATATAATTATTGATGTCGCACATAGATTTTTATTATTTATATAAAATTTTTTGCAATACAGATACAAATCTTGTAAGTAAAGATGTTATTAACAAATTTGTGAATAATTTCTGCCAAAAAATTATTTTTTTAATTTATATTTATTATTAAAAAAGCAATTCAAAGTTTTAAGAAAATATATATCATACATGTTATACAAGAATTTATATATCGTTATCTTTGTTCTAATACCACTAATAAAATTTTTAAGAAAATTTAGATTTTGAATATTTCTATATTTAATTTTGAATAATTTAATACGAAAAATAAAAAAAATATTTGCAAATTTAATTTATAATTAATTAAATTTAGATTTTTGTTGTTTATAACTTTGTAATAATATATATTTGTCTAATTAAAATAGCATAAAAAATAAATTCCATTATGTATCAATGATTATAAATATCTTTATATAGAATTGTTTAAGATAATTAAAAATCAGATATATGATATTAGAATGAAAGAATCGATATATATACAATATAAAAATGGAATGTTGAATATACAAAATAGAAAAACGAAAAATTAAATCGTTAAAAAAATATTGGATTTATTAATATAATAATATCATTTTTTCAATCTCGAAGATACGATACATGAATTTTCGAAAATTCATAATATTTCAAGTTAGATCATATAATTTCATTTAATGAAAAAACCAAATAAAATACTTTAAAACTGTTACAATTTAAATTATTAATATAATTGAAATTTTACAAAAAATCTTATAATAGGAACTAAAAAAAAGTTAGAACTATCAAAGTTAAATTCATGCTAAATGAGTAAAAAAATTGTATGTATTGTACTGTACCATCCTATTCATTCTCATTTCTGCGCAGTATATATGCAGATATTGAAATAATCATATGTAATTGTTATTAGAATTAATTAAAAAATATAACAAATCATTTATTATCTGATTATAATGAAAAAATGTTATGCAGTTTAAAGTAACTTATTATATTTAAAAACTTATAATTTATTTTAGAAACTACTTGAATAATATATTCCTTTCTATCAGTATTATAAAAAAAATTGCCTAGTAAAAAAAAAACAAAATATAAGAAGTTATTATATATTAATATATTTTAAGTTTTGTACTGTCTTAATTATCATTTCAAAAACAAATAGTTTGCAAATAGTTCTTAATTATAACTTATACAGAAAGAATATTTATATTATGTATAAATATCTGTACTTTTATATTTGGAATAAATTGTAACATACTTATAAACTCAAATTTTATAATTTGATAATTTGTATATAAAATAATGGAAAAGTCATATCTTTCGATCAATAATTATTATTATGTTATATTTTTATATATACTTATTATTATTGATTCTTTATGTAATTTCGAAAATTTTTTTCTATTTGCATGTTTATACTATTTATTCAGTTTTGTATTGCACAATTTAATGTAGAATAATTTTATAAGAAATATATATTTTATTTAAATATATAAATATTTATAAAAAAATTCTTTTGTATTCTTTTCCTAAATATTTATAATTACTATTTGTACTTAAGATTTATTACATTTATGATATAATATAGACTTTGGTTTCTGAGTACAATCATTAGGCATTTGTGTATAAGTAAATACTTTGCCTTTACAATAACAACAAAATTGTTTAGAAGGATGAGAATTATTAAAATGTTTTTCTATTAAAGAATGATTTTCAATAATCATATTCATATTGCAAATATCACAATATATTTTTGTTGACCGAAATCTTGAGTGTACTGAGTCAGTATCAGTGCGTTGACTCAATCGATCTGAATATTTATGATTTGAATTAGTTGCTTCAATATTTTGTGAAGACATTTTATTCCTACAATAGAAAATAATTATAGCAACAAATAATATTATTATAATATATATTTTTAATATATAGAATTATATGAAATTATAAATATATTTTTATATAAAATAAAAAATATTAAAATTATCATATAAATATATTTAAAGTTTTATTTTAATATTAAAAAAAATATATATATCTTAGTTTAATATAATAAAGATTTTAAAATACAACTTAAGTATAGCTTAGAATTAAAAAAGTAAAATGAAAAAATACATATATTTTTAAATATTTTTGAATTTTACTTTTATATAATAAATTAATAGGTTAGAAAATTATAACCTCAAATCATATACTTACGTGAGATTTTCTTTTACTAATTATTAATGATCATAATAATTAATTTTCATTAATTAACATACATTTATTTTACTATATTATCAAATATAATAAAACTGTATCATTTATAATCACTTCTTATCTTTTATCAATATTTTAATAATAAAATCATATTGATGCCAGTTTCATTCATACATTTATAGACAACAATGAAAAGTGTGATAAATGAAATTATGATTAATCAACTAACTTTATGATTCATTACTTTTACATTTTAACATAAAAAATCTTAAAATAAATCTTATCAACATAAAAACATATATTTTATTTAATAAATTTTAATATCATAAAGATAAATAAAAATACAAAATTAATTATAAATCATATGTATTTTTTTAATATGAAATAATTAAGATTACTTAAATTTGTAATACATAATAATTGTATATTTATATAGGTTTTATTTTAAAATGAAGTCCAATAAGAGAAAATACTAAGCATTTCAAATCTTGTACAAGATAATAGAAACATCTTAATCCTTCTGGATCCCGTGATTGGTTTACATCTAATAATGAACCAGTTTTTGAAGTAGTAAATGATATATGTTCATCACCAATTACTATTTCTAGTTCTTGACGTCCAACACGGTCTGGTTGTGGCCATAAAGAATCATCTTCTTGCATTATTTCAGAATCCTGAATAATTCTCTTCAATTCTTCCATCACACATTGATGAACATATGCTTCTTTTCGAATCATTGTATCATTTTTGTAATTTGAATTATTTGCGTATCGCAATTTACCATCAGGTCTAAATTCAAATTCGAGAAATTCATGACCGAATTTTCCTTTATGACCCACATAATAGCGTATATAAAAATCTGTTGACATTATGACAACAATTTATTGATATTTTACCTAAAATGATAGTTCCAATTTATATTTTAATATATTAAAAACGACATAAATTATAGAGGTTATTTTATGTACCTTAATATTTTTTTCCTTTTGTGCAATAGATTGATATTATTGTTTGTTCTATAAAGATGTAAGCACAATTCTTTAATAATTTTAATAAGTTTTTAACAGTGTTGTATTGTTACACATGGCAATGTAAAACAAATATTTTCAAACAATGGAAATATATCGTACATTAAACTGTAAGTGTGAGTGTTATAGCATTATGGTTGCCAAGCCACAAAACAAACAAGATATAGAATAGATTTACTATTTTTATGGGATTTTGTATCGTAAATTTTGTCTTCTAAATTATCGATCATATTATCATTTTTTTAGCATATTTTTAAGTTTTGAATATTTTGAATTGGCCATAAATATATTTTATTATTTAATAATTCTTACAAAAAAAATCTAAAGATTCATTCGATAATCGAAGAAATTAAATCAAAATAATATTGGTCCTCATGTTTCAATTCAATAAATGAATTATATAAAAAAATAACAACATTTAATTTTATTTTTAATATTTTTAAACATATAACTTCTTCAATTATCGAATAATTTATATATAAAACTTATATAAAAATACAAAAATATATTATATAAAATATATACAAACATATAAATTTTACAAAGCAATAAAAAAAGAAATCAAATATATAAAAAAAGATAGAAATAGAATAAAAATTATAAAATCAGCGCCTAGAGTAGATGAAATATATAAATAAAAAAAACAAATAGAAAAAATAGATAGAATTGACTATTAACACCATCTTTTGAGTTTTAAAAATATTTCTTTAAAGTAGAATAAGATAAAATAGAAATTGAGAATCAGTAGAATTTTTTAATTTTTTTTAGAAAAATATTTTTAGTACTCAAAAAATGATACTAATAATTAATTCTTATCCTATCTTTTTTCTTTTTTATTAATTGCTTTTCTATTCATGTTTTTATGATATTCTAAAGATGATATTAATTTCATAATTTAATTAATTTTTCAATAGATAAGTATTTTTAGAATTAAAATTGTTGAAAAAATAATTCGAAATTCTAAAAAATGACAGCTGTAATAAATTAATTATTATCTTTATTATCTTTATGTTAATATATTAACAGGAACTTTGTCATTTTTTCATCAATTTATTTAATTCTATTGTTCTATACTTATCTTTTATATATTTATTTATGTTATATTTTTAAGAAATGCACAAAAAATGTAATATACACATATATATATTTATACGATATATAAAAATACAAAAATATATTTTAAAAATTATAAATAACTACATTTAAAATATATATGCAACATAGAGATACAAATTTATATATAAAAAATATATATAATAAATAATATAAATATAATACAAGTTATATTACGTATTACATGATATGTAATGTAAAATATATTGAATGATAGATCTATTCTAAGGATTATTAAGGCGATTCATATGTAATTGCGATATTATATAAAATGATTTAGTTTCCACATTCATTACTGTTTAAAATTTTAAATTTATGAGCCTTATAATTATTTTATCAATTATAATAATGTTTATGTTAAATTTTATAAATTTAGGATTTTTTAATTTTTAAAAATTTGGTAAAAAAATTTAAGAAAACTTATGTTCTATAAAAAATATCGATTATATATAATAAAATATTAATAAATCATCAGTTTTATGTAAAAAATATTAAAATAAATTATTTTTAATTTTATATTTTAAAAATGCGATGTTAAAAATTAATATTTTTACAAAATTTTGTATAATGTAAAGCATCTTAAGCTCGAAATTTAAATAAACTTCATCACACTTGTCGCGAATCTACCTTTGTAACAGAACATCGTCCAGTAGTGATCCAGTGACACCTGAATTAAGTTATTTGCCACGCAATTGTCTCATTTTGTCTCGAATTAATAATTTTGATTGTATCAAAAATCATAATAACCAAGAAATCGGATTATTCTTCGTATATTTTTTGCAATGGAAACTATCAACAAGAAATGTAACACTAGTGACATGTGCAAATATTAAATAAATCGAATAAATGAGTAAAATGTTTATGATATCAACTTTAATGTATGTACCAGGGTAATAAACTAAAGGATGAAATTATTTTGCTCGACGAGTTCACATAATTTAAACTCGTCATAGCAAAAACTCGGTTAAACATTGTTTATTGATAATGAACAAAACTCATATGGATAAAAGACTGAATCAGTTGCCAACTTGGCTGTGGACTAATTCCACTACTTTACCACCAATCTATAAAATGGTATGGGAAGCAGTACGGGAAGATAATGTCAGAACAAATGGAATACAAACCGAACTATTGGTTGATACTAACAAAGTCTTTCCTTTATTGCTCACTAGTCAGCTCCCCACAGAAGTTCTTGGACATATATGGAATTTGGCAAATCAAAAATATGCTGGACAACTCACAGAGCAAGAATTATATATTGTTCTTGCTCTTGTTGCTGCAGCACAAGCTTCTTACACATTTAATAATCTAGATATATTACATTTACTTCCATTTCCACCTACTCCATATTTAAATATAGAATGTTTAATGAATCTGCAGCCTATAACACAAATGAATTCTGCAGCTAAATTTCAAAATGATCAAGATAATACTGAAATTGGATTTATTGCCTCAGATGAAAAATATTCTTTAGAAGCTAAAGGAAAAATGAAATTACAACAAGCAATCATATCTTCAGATTTAAATGTGCAAATGGCAAACAATGTACCTGGAAAAATTTCATGTTTTGATAATAAATCTTATGTTTCTTCTACTACAATATGGGATACCAATAATATATTAAGGGATACAAAACAAACTTCCCGTCTTCAATTAGATTCTAAACCAACAACAGATTTGTGTGATGACTTCTCTGAGTTTCAAAGTGCTCCAATCTCTAATATTCCTAACATTTCCATTTGGGATACTAAACAAGGCTCAGCTATTGGAAGTAGACTTGCAAATCATAATTTAGGTGTTAAGAAACCAATGGAAAAGTCAAAAAAAATAATATAAATGCTAAATCTGCTCATGGCACTACTACTATTCAAACACGTATTACATCAGTACCATTAACTACAATATCTCAAAGCAAAGATCAGTCAACATTAGATTGTTTATCAGATTTATTTCCTAAGTGTACAATAAAAAATCAATCTAAAACAGTAATTCTTAAGGATACAGTGATAAGAAATAATGATCCGCCCAAGGACCATAGTGAAAATATAAAAGATTATAGAAATACAGAAATTGAACATTTAACTAATGATAAAGATGTTTTGAATAAGTTAGAATGGATTGATAAGGTAATTTTATTGTATAAATTATATTAATTGTACTAAAAGTTTAAAGTTTATATAAATTTATCATAGTTTAATTATAAATATATAATTAGGCTCAATCAGCAACATTGGAACCCACTCAGCAGGATCTTATGAATCTCCAACTTGTTGAAGATAAATATAGTGCCTTGCGTGCATTGATTCAAGAAACAAGTATATCAATTGAATCAGATTCAAACGCAAGTTATAATAATCAATCAACTGATGAATTTGGAGAATTTGTATCTGCAGAACAACCTATTAATACTCCTGCCATAAATGCTTTAGATACTGACAATTTTGTTGATATTTTTACTGATTTTGAGTTTAAATCTACTAACAATAATAATGCAAATGCAGCAGATTTCAATTTTATGCCAGATATTTCTGAATCATTTGACAATCTTAAGCTTGAGGATAACATAGAAGAGCGCTCCTTAGAGATGGGTAATTAATGTTACATAATTATTTATTCTGTTGTTTTTTACATTATAAATAGTATAATATAATATCTATATTTTATTTTAAGGAAAAGCTCTTCAGAAGGAAGATGCCATATCAATTAATAGTATAGAATTTATGAATGGTGCATCGAATGCATTAACTCGATCAGGATCTGTGCCTAGTTTAGATCTTAAGTCTTTCTTACCTTCAAATACAGAAGATGAACAAATAATGGATACTACACATCAGGTTAATTTTCTTATATTTTTAATATAATATATCTAAAAAAATAATATAAAAAATGATTTAATTTATATAACTTTATAGTCAGAATATTGGGAATGGAAGCAATATATGGAAAGCTGTGTGTTATTGTTACAAATAGCTGCAAATATATTTACAAATATTAATTCAGAACTTATATTGCATGAAGTTTTAAATTCAGCACAAGGATATAATTTTCTTTGCAGTAAGTAATATTGTAAAAATTTACTAAATAAAATGAAATTTCAAAGAATTTATTAACTTTTTTTTAATATTTTAAAATGAATGCTACTATTGAATACTTTTTTTTTAAATCAGATTTAGCTGAAGTCGCAGCTGTTTGTAGACGAGTTAATTTTTCATATAAAGAAATGGATATTAATATAATAGGTTTTGATGAGCTTTTAATGGACATTGATCGAATTTGGGCAGAAATGGAACCATTTTATGCAAATATACCAGTAAGATATTCTTATATTTGTTAATTTTTATTAATTTAAAGTTTTAAATTTGTACATTATGTTTTTATAATAAATTTCAGATCGTTACGGAATTGCCCGCTTGGCCTTTACATCAAGGAGAAGCCATTTGTTGCTCACTTTGTTTAACGGTTATTACCAGCGGCAGAGTAGTATATAACGAGAATAATTATCACGTTACTTGTGCAAATCTATGGCTTAATTGTGTAAATAGTAATTTGCCCGTGATGCGGCATCCCGTCTATTCTCATTTGAACACATGTCCAGGTAATCATATTTGATATTAATCTGTATTAGAGAAAAAAGACAAAAACTTGCGTTCGTAAATTTTTTAATGTACACATATTAATTTACTATATGAAGATTGATAGAAAATCAAAGTGAAATAACTTTGTATTTTATTAATAATTAAAAAATCAAACATTAACATTTTTTAAAAATTATCTAACATAAACGCGATTTTAAAAAATCTGGAAAATTTATGATAAGAAAAAATGAATTGTATATATTCTTTAAAAATCGAACATTTTCAAAATCATATTAACTAGTCCTTTCAAAAATCTGTACAGATATCGAAAAATTTAGAGGAAATATTAATATATTATAATCTTTGGAATTAGAAAGAAAATAAAAGAATTGCGAACAAATTTTAAACATAGTCAAAAAGATTGGAAGAATTTCAATAGAATTCTGAAAATCTGAACAAAAGTTCATATCAATCAAATCGAATATAATATTTTCGTGAAGATCTTATAAAATTCTTAGTGCAAATTACGAGATAAGTAATTAGATTATTCTATTAAATAATATTAAAAAAAAAAAAATATAGTAGTGATCTTACAATTTTCGAAATTATCGTTGACTTGTATCGCGCGGTCTATACACTATTCCTCTGCTTTTCATCTCTCTTATAACACCTGCTGGCAATCGACCTGATACCGATATTGCATATACACCTTTACAGAATCGATCTGAAAAAAAAAAACAAAATTGAATCTCAATTCTAATAGCAAATATTTATAATTTTGAACAAGAAACTATCCATTTTGTTCATTTTGTTTTAAGTTAAATTAAGCAAAAAATTATAAAACATAAAAATAACATGTAAAAAAAATTATTGCAAAATATACATGAAATTAAAATATGAAAAATTAAAATTAAAATCTTATGTACGCACATAAGCATGTTCCTTAATAATTATATATATTACATCATATATTAATGAAAATTCTGTATAAATGTATAATATTTAATATTAAGAATCTCAGATACAAGGAAATTTATTAAATTGCAATATATATATATATATTGCAATTTAATATTTAATTGTTTTATATTAGTTGCATCTTTTGTATTGAAATATTGGCTTAAAATCTTGTACAAAGTGCTGCCTTTCAATAGATTTACATATATAATATAAAAACATGATTTAGATTATTGTTATTTGCACTGCCAAATCAGATTATTGGAACATAAAAAAGAAAAATTAATATATTAAAAATTTGATGAAACATTAATGAAATAAAAAAATGTCAAAATAATACCATAAAAAATACCAGTTTAGAATATGATTTACTATAAAATAATGTAACTTATAATTTTGTAAAAGTGTACAAAAATAAAATAATAATATTTCTTTTGCTTAATCTTAACTTATTAAGTATAAATATAGATTTATTACTTACTTATTCTTTGCCATTTGCATACCCAACTATCCTCAGGACTCATTGCTGCAATCATTCTAAAAAATAATATTAATTTTATTAAAATTTTAAAATAAAAAAATGTATTTATTATATATATTAAAATATATAAATTTTATTATTTAATAAGAATACATAAAAATTTTTATTATTTAAATGACTTACCCATCAAAATTAGAACTGGTACAATCAAAAACATTATCTTTGTTATTTTTCATACGTAAAAATTCATCACAATTATCGCAACCATCAAATTCAAATTGATCAAATGTCTATAATAAAATGAAACTTTTTAATGATTTAATTTTACACAAAAATTATGATAAAAAATATAAAAATATATACCTTAACCAAAGAACATACTAAACAAGCTCTTAATCCACGTAACTCTTTCGGAACTGTTTCCATCGACATATTTAATGTTTTATGTTATTTATTTAATTTTATAATTTAAAATAATTTTTGTTTAATCTTTCGATAAAAAATATTTTTATCAAACAATTAATAATATATTATAGATGACATAACATTCTACGAATAGAGTTGTGTATAAAATTTTCTTAAAATTTTACATATATCTTCTCTGAGATACGAACATCAACTAAATAAGAAAAATGAGAAATGAGAATATAAAGGTTTAGACTAGGCATGGAGGAAAAAAGCATTAGCACTGGTAAAAGAATGTATATCTTGATAATACAACACGATAAATAACGCCATCTATCTGATATTATTATATACATATTATATAAAATGGCGAGAAGAAAATTCTCTGGCAATTTATTTCATTTCAAATTTCAATTTTTCATTTATGATAAAATAAATAAATAAATTAAAATTTTTACAACTATATATTATGTTGATTAATTTTTTCAAAAATTTTTTTTTAATTTTATTTACAATATTTTAGAGTGTTCATAAATACATCTAATATTTGTATTTTAATAAAAATCTGATATTTAATTAAATTTTAATAATATTTTAAAAAATAATTTCCCTGTTTCTTTGAGAATCAGGGAATGAAAATAATTTTGTATTTATATATTTATATTAATTATCATAAAAACTATCCGTTAATTTTAAAATATTATTGCGTTATAAAAATAACATTTTTAAGACAGTAAGTAATGACCCAAAGCGGGAAAATAGTACACTATATATTGAGATTTATTGTACAGTTATAAACGCAGGATGAAGGTTATTTTTTATTTGAACTATATCTATTTTAAAAATTATAATTTGAAAATATAAGTATTAAGCTATCATTTTAATATTTTGTTCATACGTTCAGCGTTTCAATAATAACCTGAATTATTTTATTGACTCGCGTTTTTAACGGCTATTATCATGAAACCTGGCACAAAGGTTTCTGCCGCCAAAACTGTTACTCCTGAGGTTAGTATAATAAAAATATATAATAAAGAGATAAAGTATAATATAATAATAAAGATTTTTATCCAATAATTTTTATAAAAGATGAAATTATTGCATTTGATTATACTGAAATTTTATTATTTTGGAGTAATATAAATATTTTAATTTATAAAACTATTATTTTATTTTGTTAAATTTTTTATTTCTCTACGAATTTTGAATGTTAATTAACTGTCATTTTAAATTATCAATAAGCTTAAAATTGTATGTAATTTAATATATAAATATATTATGATTTTTTTTATTTTTTATAATGCATAGATTATTATCTTTTTTTTATTAATTATTCATTTATTTTTAATGAACATATAATATATGATTCAAGCAACACAATGCATGTGCTTTATCATACATCATATATTTTTATCTTTATTGAAGCAGGATAAGGTCAGAAAGTCTTTGCACGTTTTGCAGCCAGCAGCAACTGATAAAGAAAATTTAGTTGGTGGTGGAAGGAGAATGCTTAGATCTGCTCTTCCAGCAAAGGAAACAATAAAAAAGTAATAAATTCTATAATTTTTTTACATTCCATATTTAAATGTAACTATATCAAATTAAATTTCATTTAGTGAAGTGAAAGAAAAACCAAAAATTGATGAAAAGCCAAAACGTAAGAAAATAGTTTTAAAAGATAAAGCTGTACAAACTGCAAGAGGAGGAAAAATAAAAATTGAAGTTGAAGATTTAACATCTGAAGGTATATTTTTGTTAAAAAGAAAAATTAAAAACAAAAAAAAATTATTTTATATAATTGTTAATTTTGATAATTTTCCATATTTACATTAGCTGGTCCTAGTGAAAATTATTGGGAAGTATTAGCTGAAAGACGACGGATAGCGCTTGAAGATGCTTTAGAAGATAACAGAGAATTGGTTGAACGCATTGAAACGTTAGAAGAAGAAAATCGCATTTATAAAGAAATGTTAGATGAATCTAGAGCATTGGTTGAAGTTTTACAGGTATAATCATAAGCAATCTTTTATCTATAACATTTAGAATATTTTTGTATAACTAAATACAATTTATTTTGTAGGAAATGATTGGAGAAGATAGAAATGATATAAATAATTCTCTAGAAGATACCATTTAATTTAATATTATGCTATCAAATACTAATTAGTGCCTTAACATCTTGTTTCTTCAAACACTAAATGTTTTTTAATTTGAGGCCAAATATGATGGATAATAAATAGATTTATTAATAACAAATATTAACAGATTGCATAATCTGAATTAAAATAAAGCTTTTATAAGCTAGAAATGCAAGATTTTTTTTATATAGTTTTATTTCTTTTTAATTGTTCATGGTTATTTGTATGTATGTACTGAATTAATTAAGACTATGACTGCAAATATAGTTGTATTTACTCAGAATACTAATATAATATAAATATATTTTTGATTATAATTAATAAACTGGTTTTTTAATATTCTTTGAAATTATTTTTTTTGTACCTTCTAATTGAAATTTCATAATCTGTATTACTTCATTGTTACAAGAATAATAATATTAATCGAACTGTTAGTATCACGTATTTATTTCACAAATCTTTGGCGTAAAAGACTTTAAATTTCATTAAAAACATCAACATTATAATATAAATTTCATTTTGAATAACTGATGATTTGTTCACGCATCAGATATAATATTATACATATATTCAAGAAAGCCATTTTATTTGCATCACATCTTTTAATGAAAATAATTAAAAATTATCATCAGAAGGCTATCATAAAAATCGTGCATAAAAATGTTATTAAATGTAAAATATACAAAAGTATATTTTTTATTTAATATTTCTTCACTGTTCTTTTGCTAGAATTTTACTCCAAATTTATTTCCTCATTCGAAGAATAAGATTTTTTGATATCTATTCAAAAGAATAGCAGGTCCACTCCACGAATCGTAAAGCGGTTGAAAATCGAATGTGCATTGGGAAACGCTATTGAAAAGCGTTAAAATCAATTCTTAATCTTCATCTTTAAAGCGGCGATAAATGGACTGCACATAGGTAAAGACACACTTCCAATCTGGTCGACGCATCATCACCATATCTTCAACATCAAGTAGTGGTGCGATCCCGGCGAGTTCACTATGAAAAAATTCTCAATTATTCAATTTTAAAAATAAAAATTTTATTAAATAATTATAAATTAGAAGGATTTTAAAAAAAATTTTAGGGATTTTTTGAGAAATAAAACATTTAAGCTTAAATTGTATTATAACATTCATAGTTAATTATTCAGAACAATTATTTATCTAATAGTAATTCTTTCTTTTTCTTTCATATGTTTTTCCTAATTATTTTAATTAGGGATTTATCATATTTTTTTTATTATATATATTCTATATTATAGATTTATAAAAAAAATGCTTTGAAAAGAAAAATGAAGAAATATATATATTATAAGAAAATATTTATTATATAAGCTTACTCGGCTTTTTTAAACGCCAACTCAAAATTCATTCTGCGATTCTCCGGCCGTAGCGAGTAAAAGTCGAAAGCGTCTGGTCTGAAGTGATGAAGCAGAGCGCAAAACGCCAATCCGTTGTTCCAGCTCGTCGAGAAATTATCTAATTGTACATTCTGCAATAAAAAATATAATCATACCATAATTGACGCGCAATTTTATGCTAGCAATGCATAATTATCTTTCATTCTTTTCTTTCAGAAACTTTCTGTAAATAACATATACGTAAGTGTATGAACGCGAGAAGCTCCATTTGCAAAGCGGATTTACCTCGTATTCTTTGGTTTTGGAACGGCACCACGCCAGTAGCCGCTCTTTTATTTGTGCCGCGTTGTCCCGCACTGCTGGTTCGGTAAATTTGAATCGAAACTCTGTTGCCGGTGACTTTACAGGACTAAATATAGAAGGAAAATCTGTCAGTTTCAAAAAGATAAAAAGTGCTTATGAATATAAACTTTATTATTAGAATTATTAATAAATATAATGTTTATGATATTTATACATACATATTAATAATAGCGATTATAGAAAAATAGTCGGAGACAAATAACCGTTATTTTTTCGAATGATTTAAAATAGAAATTAAATTTAAGGAATAATCTTATTTAAGGATTTAAGAAAATCTTTATGATGAGGATGAATATCTAGTCATAAACAAAATTATTGGTGAGTCTTTTTAATTATCAATTGTTAAAAGTATGTTGTGAATGAAATAAAATGAAATAAAACTTGAAAATGGCCTCTAACAAATGGTCATTATATTACCTGAATGAATAGTGTAGTTCTTAGAAGGAAATAGAAAAAGAGGATACCGTTTTGTTAAGAAGATTATAGAGGATACTAAACAGCAAGAGGTATTTTCTTTAAACTTTTAGAAAAGAATATTTATTTTACAATTTAGAAAAAGAAAAGATCCTTTTTCTAACATAACTCTAACATTATAACAAATATTGTATATTATAATCTAATAGTACAATGGTTAATTTAAACGATATAATTATTATAATTTAATTTAAACTTTAAATTCTAATAATTTTAATATTTTTAAGTACTTTAATACTATTATAAGTATCATTAGTTATTTTAATAGTAATGCTTTTCTTGTTATTTAAAAAATGTATAGTATTATTATTTGAAATAGTACTATTAAAATAGTTTCTTTTAGTATCCCATAGAAAAAACTTTTTCATTGTCTAATAATATCGATTCTTTCACCAATAGTAAAAGCGAAAATACCTATTGTATAAATAAACAACATTTATAAATGCTATTCAATTACCTAGGTGACGAAGCGGCGCTATTTTGTCTGTCGAGTTCACGAAACTTGGCAAACGGTGATAGCGGCTTCTTGCGAGCTGAAAAACGAATAAAATTATTTAAATTAAGAAAGCATTACCATCGTCGCAAAACTTCATTGAAACTCATTTTATCAATGTTAATTGTCTATATCTAATTAAAAATTTGTCAATAAAAATCTTTGCGTATGTGAGAATTATTAGAAGGATTTGGCAAAGTTCAACAAAAAATTCAAAAATTAAGAAAAAATTTTCGTTTCTCAACCTCGTCGCCATTTCTCGATCAGAGGTCTCCTTTTTTTCTTTTAAATATAATCAATAAATAATAATATATTGTTATAATACATCATTATTTAAAAAATTGTTTTTCGTTTCTGATTTTGTGATTCGAGTCGCAACGAGGCGATGACGAAATCGCTCCAATAGCAAGAAATACATGGAGCTAGATTTAAAACTAAAAGATTCCTAATCTAAAGTGTGTGCTTTCTGTGTTCATGTGAGAAACGTTAGCAATAAAATTTTTAGATAAAGTGCAATAGTTCAATTCGTGCGTTTTACATACGCGTTCACATAAATATTTATATTCATATATGTGTATGCATATGTATTAAACACACGAAAGTAATGGTTCATATAAGTATAATGGTATTTTCTCGATGAAACGCAAAACTATAAAAATTAAATTATCAAAAATGATTCTTCTGATGAATTAATTCTTAATTCTGATGAATCAATTTTGCGAATAAAACTTGGAAACTTGGCTGGCGCATCTCCTGATTTTCTTTCTTCTTCTGTGTTTAGTTAATCTCCAAATAAATGCACGTGTAAGTACAAGGCGCGCTATTTTTATATCGATAGAGGATGAATTGCTTTTACGTCAATCGAAAAGCCATTTGCTATTTATCACAAGTTCCTGATAAAAAATACAATAAGAGAGTTTTTTTCCTGAAAATTTTATTTTAAATATTTTTATTTGATAACTTTTAATTGTTAATATTGTTAATATTGTTAATATTTTATTATTGTATGATTTTTAAATAAATTTTTAATTTTTTTTTGTTTCATATTTTATGTTTATCATTAATAAAATTGTAATCTTTGTAAGTAATTTATTTTTGTAATTTTATTTTTGTAAAATTAATTTTTATAGTTTGATTAGTAAATGAGCTGAAAAATAAGCTGAGTGAATTGTTAATAAAATGAATTTCAATCACATGACTAATATTATATATGTACATGTATATCCACCTTCATTTTTTGTATTGCTAACATAGCAATCAATATATTATCAATACATATTATATCATTCATTTTTGCCAAGTATCCAAGCATTGAATATATTTAAATAATTATGCTAATAAAGATTATCAAGCTTTCGTTTTTTTTAATTCATGAAGTTAAGTTTGATCCTTTTGAATAAATTTTAATGCATTTTATTTATTATATTATAATTAGATTCGTTAGTTTCAAACAATTTCAGATTGTGTGTGTTGTTGCCTGTTTGGTGAGAGGACGTTATCTAAATTTCTGAAATTGAATTTTTATAATATTAATACTAATTATTTTAAGTGTATAAATTAAATAAATTATATATAATATTTACATATAAATTAAATGTAATATATTAAATAAATTTAAAAGAAAATAAATTTTTTGTTAAAAAACTTTAAGATGTATCATGTCAACTATTTTTTCTAAATAAATAAGATTAAAAAAAATATTTTGTAAAAAAAAGATATAATAAAAAAGCTTCATAGAAAAATTTATTAAAAAAAACTCAAAAAAAATTTAATCAAAATTTTTATCTATTATTCTTTAATGATTCATGCATTAATTTATTAATCATTAATAAATTAATTTATTACAACGATTAAAATAATAATTTAATGATACTGATTGATTATTAACTCAACGAAGAAAATAAATAGAGAAAACAAAAATTCTTCAAAATAAAACTGGATTAGAATACTCAGACAGCGTCCTCCACTGTATTTTACAGTACCTAAATGTATAATGTATAGTACTAATATATGCTACTCTTCAAACTTCGTGCACATTTCGGCTGGTGCAAGCTACACGCTACTGCGCGTCAAAAAAGGATCAACAAAGAAGGGCTGTGACTCACTGCTTTATTCGGGCTTTGGCACGACCTTCTAGCGACTCTGAATGTCCGTCCACAAAACGTGTTCGCGCATAGAGCGCAACTCGAGGCTTATTAAAAAAAGAATAAAAAAAGAGAAGAAAAGAAAAAAGAAATATAAAACAAACAAGAATGAAAAGCATACGCAGGGTGTTTCTTCGGCATGAAACAAGAAGCTTTCTCCGTGAGAGAACGCTTGATACACGAGCAATAATCAGTTTAGTATTCAGTTTTATCTCCTCAACGAACGACTTTCGAATATTAGCTGATCCTCTCTGTCGAAATCCACGCAGATCCACTGTTTTGAGCTCCTTTTCTATTTCATTGTGTAATTACTCTGACTTTTTTATTCTTTTTATTTCTATTTATTAAGATTTACTTTTTTTTGTTTTCACTTCACTTTTTTTTTGATACTTTCAAAGTTTCATTGTCTTTTCTATATCACAACGTTGTTAATTAATTGATCTCTACTAAATTAATGTAATAATATCATTTTTATAGATGTCTTTTTCTGTTTGTTAATTTTTAAGACACTCCATAGCGTCACAAGTAAATCGAACTAATTGCTTATATCGATGAAATGTTTCGATTAAACACGATACTAGAGACCTCTTCTGGAATTGAAGGACAATTACAATTATCGACAACAAGAATCCTTGGGATACAACAGTTCTTCTAGCTAGGCCAAAAAATAATAAATCTCACCGTAGAAAAATCCTATATGGTAACTTGTATTTCTCGAATACAAGCCATGTTATATAAACGAAGAATACAATGATTCAAATCAGTCAATAATTACTGATTATCAGTCCTCGTGGCTTCTTCGAACAAATCATCGAACACTTTGTCAACATCTGCAGTATTCACATTCAATAATGGCACTTGTTGAGGCGTTGGTATTAAAACATGTAATTTTTCTTCGGACAAACCAGGCATAGTACGACTACGAGATAATTCAAGCATTCCTTTAGATGCAAATCTAGGAGATCTTCTATGTTTCATAGTATCCTTTGTTTCAACAATGTCACTTGGCTGATCGAAATATTGTCTAATCTTATCCTCCATTTTCTTTACACTATCTGCCATAGAGGACGCTTCAAATTGTTTAGACCTCAATTTTTGAGAAGATGGTGATCTTGGCTTTGGTGGTTTCGGAAACGAAGATGAAGATGCTGGTGTATTTACACGAGAAGTTCGAGGATAACGATTAGAAATAGCCAACTGATGCCAGGATTCTGATTTTGATAATACTATGGATCTAGAAGGTTTCGTTGCACAAGATACTAAATATTCGTCACTAGAATCATTTGGAGCCATTCCATTTGGAATAGGCGAACGTTCTTTATGAATTGATTTTGTTTGAAAGTTCGGCGTCTGTTCATAGGCTTCCCTGAGAGCACCCACTCTATTCGCAATCACTGGACTTGGTGAATGTACTCGAGATGTCTCTGATTTCTTCTGAGGAACAGGTGTTAGATATTTGATGAATCGATTTGGTTTTTGAGAATCTGAGGATCGATCAAAGTTTACAGATTGATTGAAAGTCTGTTCTTGATGAATGGTATGTATGGATTTATTAAAATTTGATTGTTGAAGAGGAATACTCTTTTGAGATACGTTTATAGGTTGGTTATGATTTTTTTGTTGATGAATTGTCGCAAAATTCATCGATTGATTGGAAAACTTTTGCTGGTAACCCTGAATTAAGTTAGGAGATTGACTTTTCTGATTAATAGGGATCGGATGTTGTCCAAAATTAGAAATTTGATGCTGATCATTTAGAGAAGTAATTTCATTTTGCAGACGACGAACTAAACTCTGTTGCAATAAATTATGTCGACGAATTTCATCTTCTGAGGCAATAGTCTCGTTAGTTGGTGGTCTGGATCTGGTCCATGACCATTGTGAAGGTGATGGAGATGAAGATGCTCTAGAATCCATTGCTATTTCCTCCGATCGAGGTTCAGGACTATCTACCGATGATGCTACCGTTCCAATAGCACATGTATACCTTGTAATCACTCCAATTTCCGGACTGATATCCTGATTCTGAATATTTTGATCATTTGGAAAATTAGAACTTTCTACAGGCCAGTCTGATGTTTTCTGATGATTTTCGCATTCTTCTCGTGCGTTTAATATTTCATCTGATTGATTGTAATCAGACAAATTAGACAAAATAGGAGAAATAAGAGAAGAAGAATAATCTTGATTATCCGTATTTTCAGTCTGATAATTCTTCACCGGATTTTCAGTTGATTTCTGATAACTCTGATTTCCCAAAAAAGGCACAATCTCCTTAAAATCTTGTTCATTAACAACATGATGTACATCAGGGATCATTACAGGACCATTGAACTCAGAATCACTGGATACAGTGTGGTAATTTTGGTTATGATCCAAAACGAATCTTTGACGATCTTCAGATGTTTGATCAGAATCAGACTGTTCATAACACAAAGGTGTCCACTGTTTTCCACTATCTATATCATTTACTGATATTACTGGTTTATTCAATTCGCTGGAAGTTTGCACAGCAACATTGCTACAAATTAAATTTTGATTTTTTGAAATTTTAGGCGCTACTCTGAACGATCTCTCTTCATCTTGATGATCTTCGTCGATTCCAGTTTGAACAGCCACAGATGAACTGCCTCTTAGAATAGCATCAGCAAAACTATCTTCATTATATTCATGTTCTTTTCCACTTTTTATGATTTCAAGCTTTTCCTTGGATAATCGATGTTCCATCGAAGGATATTGATAGGTTTGAACACGTTTATCTGGTACTACTTTAAAGGAAATCTTACCGTCTACTATTCCAGGAAGTTTATCCCGTTGGATCAATTTTTGTTGATGTTGTTCTTCCAGTTTTTTTGATTCCACGGAAGAAGTTTTGCCAACGAATGGAGCGAATTGCTTGCAAAATGATCGATAATCCAATTTACCGTTTTCTGTGACCGTACCATTGGATTTGTTCTCGTTCTTTTCATGTTCGATCCATGGAGGTCGAGAGAAAGTAGATTTTTCCGAATAGTTTCTAGAGGGTTTTGAAAATGACTGTATGGTTTCCCGATCGAACATCATTCTAGCCTTTTCCTTCAATGTGCTTGTCGGCATTGGAACATTTTTCGGCCAGTGGTACGACAATGGAACATTTGACGGAGATTCTGATTTTTCTATTTTACGAAAAGGAGAAGATGGTGCGTGTCTAAAACCCGTAGTTGCATCCATCTTCGTCATTCGAGGACCATAATTTGGATTAGTATTAGAATAAATTTGTGTTTGAGGTGAATTCGGGAACATTTTATTTGCACGAAATTTTAAAGATGATTTAATTTCCCTTTCATCTGTTGCAGATGGTTTATCGAAGGCAGTCTTGATATTAGAGAATCTACTGTTCCAATTTTCATTAGTCAACGATGACATATCCATAGTTTGCCCAATGGTTTTAAATGGAACTACTGAGGCAACTGATGGTACTTCGTTGTTCTTATTAATTAGGGCCAAAAATTTTCTATCATTTTCCGTTTTAGGTTGAAATGTGGGCACGATAACATTGACCGAGTTGAAAGTTGTCTTATCTCCAACGTTAATTGGTTTCCTCAAAGAAACGCAACCTGCAGTCTCGTGACCAAGACTTTCCGCTTGAAGCTTTAAGTAACTAGGAATATCAATAGTATTTGCACGTTTGATCTTTGACTTCTTTGCACTGAACTTGTTAGCACCACCGTATTTTCCACCCCCTGAAGCCGATAATTCAGCACGTTGTTTGAGCACAGACGCTAATTTACTTACGCGACTTCTTTCCTCACTTTCCTCAACAACATTATTTTCGTTATTTTCTTTTTCTTGATAATTATTAACTCGATATTGAGTCTGATACATATTTAAGTCTCTATTACTCTCACTATCTGCAATATCCACCTGTTGTATTCCTCGAAACACACAATTGTCTCTGATCTCCTTATTTTTATCCTCTAACAACTGACGTTGATTGATCGCGTCCTTTGTGCATTTGTCACGAATCTCTTCTGGTTTCTTGTCTATCATGTTAATCACATTAACTCCATTCTCAGACACATTCTGTTCCTTCTGCTCTTTAGTAACCGGCGTAATTTCCTCCAAAGGTAAGATATTCTTTTCTTCCTCTAACCACTTTCTAGCTTTAGCCAATTCCTCCGTGGAAACACCTATTGTATGTCTGGTTCCTCTTCGTCTTCTGCTCAAGGACGTCGATGGTAACACCGATGGTATTTTCTCTTTAGTTTTTTCCTCAGGCATTTGTAGTCTGGACAATAAACTCGACACCAGTCTTAACAACTGTAATTTACTTGTAGGATCGGAAGCAGCACCGTGTTTAGCCAGTGCAGCCACATCAATCTTCTCCAAGGTCTCGCGAAGACGCGACAGGGCGGTTTGTATGTCCGATAACAACAAATCCTCCAGAAACTTGAGATCCTTTTTTAATTCCGGTTCTTTGCAGTTGCCCAACGCTTGGTCCATCGAATTGCGCATCCGGAAATCCTCCTCAGAATCGACGCCGGAATCCTCGAGCACAGCTGGTGGCTCATCGTCGCGACGACTTCCTAGGGAAAGCTCGAGCGCTGCGCGTAGACGATCTACCAGATGCGGTAATGAATTCCACTCACCGACTGGCGCGTTCCGTCCATCGATGGTGGTACCTGTTGTGGTCGACGTATTCGTGGCCTCTTCTTTTCTAATCGCGTTCTCTTCGAGTCTCGAGATGCCTTTGTCCTTGTCGTCCACGGTTCCCGTGCTCGAACCCGCTGAAAAAGAAACGACACGAAGCAAGGGTTGAACCCAACAGACGAGCTGAAGAACTTGTGAGACAGCACATGAGGTACACACGAGAGGAAGTTTATTTTTCTTGCTTGTCGATTCGTTTTTCTTTTCCTATTTTAATCTTTTTCCTATCTTTTTTTTTGTCTTTGTGTTTTCTGTTTTTTTTATCGTTTTTTTGTTTCAATCTCTTTACAGTGAAGTTAAAAGTTGTATGCATGAAGAGTAATCATGTGTTGGTTCGAGACATGGCAAGAGAAGAGAGAAGAAACGTGGAACGCCTGAAACGCGTTTTCGCGAGGAGGAGCCGCTTGGCTTGACCGGCAGTCGCGCTCGCTTTATTTAAAAGCCACGGGATTCTCCGCGAGGATTTATTTTCGGTCGCTCGTTCAACGCCTCGCGACTACCCACCAGAGGAGAGAGGCTTGACGAATCGTGAACGAAGCCGCGAGACAAGAGATCGGTGCCGGATGGGGCCGGCTAATTCAAACTGAATACTATCCAGTATATTTCGTTATTTTACAATTTCAAAATATTTTTTAAAATATTCTCTAGTTTCTCTTGTGATCATTCATATAAGTCGATAATAATAGATAATAGATACTTGTGTATAAGGAGTTAAATTTTTGTTTTTTGATAAGGAGCCAGATGGATCAACCTCTTCTTCTTCGTTATTACACAATGATAGATTTTATATATAACGTTGATGGAATTGGTTTTTAATCCCTTATTGAAATTATCTTCGATTCGTTAAAAATATCTTTTGAAATGTGTATTCGGTGATCATTATGAATTAACATCATTCTAGATTTCAGTAGAGTTTATATTATAATAGTTATTATATTAAATTGTCAGTCATTTTCAACAGTCTCTGTGTCACAATCATTGATAACAATCATAGAGAGAAAAGAAAAATTAAAATGAATGAAATTAATGAAATTAAATCGCAATTTAATCTTAAATAACAATGGATTAAATTAAATAGAAGATATAATGATTCTTCAAATCACTTCGCATTTCAATTCACGCACAATTAACGATGCTGAATGTTGAGCTAAATACATTCGACTCGAAACAGGTGATCCATCTACCCTTGAATTACTATGTGTCACGAACCTGCTTGGGTGCCCTCTTTCTTCTCCGCTTCGTTCGATTTCCTCTCGTTCTCCACGAATATTTCTTTTTCCTTTTTCTCTTGGTATAATTGCTCCTTAGCCTCTTCCGGATATTCTTTTACAATTTCTTTTGAAATATTCTCTTGAGTGTTTAAATAATGTACAGAGTTGGATCTTTTGCTTTCTCCCTCAATGATACTCTGGAAATCATGGTTCTCCACGACAGATTGAATATCTGAAAAGATTCCATAAATATTAAACTGGAAATATCAGAAATGAACATAAAATGACATTCTGTCAGTGTGATTCATTATAAAGTGAAATTTCTTTGTCAATAACACAAAAATAATAATTCCAAAAGAATGTAAATGAAATATTTTAAACACTTTGATAAGTTCAAAATGTTTTAAATTATAGATATAAATAATTAAGCGGAGTCGTCATATTATTAATTTCTTATGAAAATGAATATATTTTATTATTTATTAAAAAGAAAGAATAGAAATTCAAAAATTAAATATTAATAAACACTTTAATCAAATTGAATCATCCATTCATGAGAAATACTAGCAATAGCAAATATTTTTTGAATTATCCTATTAAATATATTAATTAACACTAGAACTATCACTTTTAATATATATCAAAATATTGGAAATCAAATCAGATCATTTAGCCTAATTTAATTGTTTCTCTTTAATTGATTTTCAATAAGAATAAATTATGAAATTTTATTTGTATCATCAATAATCTAGTTCATTTATTAATGAAATTTCTACATCAATAAATTTTACCAAAACTAGTATATTTTCAGTAATTATAAATTTTCATTTTGACAAGTTTGATAATTCTAATATTAATTAACTTCCAAATAATATTACTCAAGTGATGTTTTACAAAATGTAAGCATTTAGATGATAAATGCCAATAATTAATTAACTTTTTTGTTTATTGATTAATTTTTTTTAATATCGATATAAATTATCAATTATATTGTTTAGTAATATTTTTACTTTCTTTATATAATATGTTTGTAACATAGTAGATAATACAGCAATGGTTACATCACAGGAAGATGTACGCATTTTATTCCATTTTAATTTTGTTTTCTTTTTTAATACTTTATTTTAGTAAAGAGATGACGTGCAAAGAGCATCTTTTAATTGTGATAAAGTAAAAAGTAGTCAGAATCAGAATTTAGAAATGAAAGAAAATAAGAGATAGTGTTTCGTTAATTATGTTATATATTTGAAAAAGAAAGGAATCATTTGAACGCCTTTTCAGATTCGTTCAGTAGCCACGATTATCGTACATTTTTCCCTGAGTTCCTGTCGACGTATCGTTCATTATTTTATCACACGATATTCGAATAATCTTAGGGCAGAAATATTCAAAGAATATCGTGACACCAGCTCGTAAAGAAGACCTCACCTTCCGCCTCCGACATTTTGATCTTCCGGATCTTCAACCGGCCGCCTGGAACCGAAATCAAACATTATTCTATAGCAAGCTATCGATATTATAAGATTATATTAAAATATAGAAATAAATAAAAAAAATAATAAATACGAACGAATAATCTTTTTTTATCATTTCTTCGATTTGTTACGAAAAAGATATTATTTTTTATTTTTCATTTCACGTTTATTAATAGCGGAATTTAATTGGTTTAATCGCTTTGAAATTAAGAATAAATAATTTTTTAATTTTTAGTTTCACTAATGATTAAACTATTTTTGTTTAAAAATTTGTTTCTTTGATTTTTCAATATTATTCAATATAATCTCTATTCAACAATATTAATTTATTTTTATATAATCCTCTAATTTATTTGTCACTTCGTTTTTCCATAATTTTTATTTATTTGAAAAATAAATTCCTATTCTGCTACTAGTAATTCATATTGAGAACATCAATCTATTTTTATTCAAACAAGTTTTTTCGTTTCAGTAAGTCAAAAGTCGTTTTTCTAAGTCAAAACGAAAACTCCGTTTATCTTGCAATTTCTATGTATATTATAAAATTAATTTATATATTTTTATCATACATATTTTTTAATGTTATTAATATTTCATTCTCTTCATTTTCAGTAAAATTTTCTTTTTTTTTTTAATCCTTATATAATAACACAATATAACAATCTTATCAAAAAAATATCTAATTTTACTAATATCTCAATCTTTACTACTTTTTCAATATTTAGAAATTTTCTTAACTTTTCTTCCTCAACTTTTTTCAATCCCTATTCAACCATAATATTAATCTATCTCTATCCTTCAAAAAATATAGGCATTACCTCGTTCTTCTCGATTTTTTCTCTTTCAAGAAAAAAAGAGAATTTTTCACTTTTTGTTTCAATTCTTATTTAACCACGACATTGAGCCACTTTCAGCCGATGATCATTCTATGCGATTTAACAGTGTTCGGCACGTTTTCAGGATTTCTGATCTTGCGTTTCCGCGAAACAACCGAATATGATCGCGTCTAGATCCAGAATGTTAAATGACCGACTCTAGGTCTAGCCAGTGTATTTCTCGATCACAGAGAAGGTTGGCGGCTGTTTCGGAGGCAAGCCTCGCGCGAAAATAACTGACCTGTTTTCGCGCATACGGAAATTAGGAAGTCTTCGCTGCGATTCTATGCGAGTTACGCGCCATGCTCTCGATACAATATATCGATACTCGGAATCGTGACTCGCAAATTATTCAGATGTCTCGATTTCGATATTTCGATAGTTTTATTTCGATATTTCGAAAGTTTTAATTCGATAATTCGATAGTTTCGTTTCTTGATGCACGGAATAGTCTGATATAATAGCAATAATGTTTAATTTAATATTAGAATTGACAGTGAAACTAAATAAAATTAATTAATTCACAAATTTTTGTTTGAAAATATTAAAAATCCACGAGTGCCTTTGACAAAATAATGTTAATATTCAATTATTTTCAAGATGTAAGTATTCTAACTTTAAGCATTTTTATACAATTATATTAAAATATATATTATAGTTGGTTAATATTTATTAACGTTAATAATAAGCAAAATAAAAAAAATAAACAAATAAACAAATTTAGGAAATAAATCATTTAGAAAATAATTATTTTTTATCATCGAAATTTTTAGAATTTGTGATGATAGATACTGAAAATATATAATCATCAAATATGATGATTATGAATTATTTTTCTGGAATTCAAATTAACATGTATATTGGAAAATAAATTGAAGTTATAAAACAATTCTGTCATCTAATAAAAAATAACATTGAAAATAAGATATAATGTAAGAGAACAAAATTTCAAGAACAATGTGTTTGATTAATGCACAAATACGAAATATAATATTTAAAGTTATGATACATCAGAAATAATCTCTCTTTTATAACTATTCAAAATTATAAATAGAAAAATGAATATATATAATATATATATAAACTGAAGCAACATATATTATCATAAAATCTTCATTATTACTCACTTGAAATTTGAATTAGAATATTATTAAAAACATATTTAAAGTAAAACTTTTTTAGTACAAAAAATATTATTATATTTTTAATATTATATTTGTACACAAAACTTGTACACATTAATACAAATTATATTCGATTATCTATTGTATACATCATTTTTTAAGTCGTATACATGTAGAATAGAAAAATCGATTGGAATAAAAGTGTTTTAGTCTTCGTTTATTCTCGTATCATCGTCAATTGCGAATCTTTTTAGAACTCGAGTTAAACAAACATCCTCCAGTTGCTATACCATAATAAATGTTTCCGCGAGTATTGCGTAATACACGTTTACTCATTCACTTCTTTCGCATAAAAGATCAACGCAAAATCTACAAATCCACATGTGTGTTATATTATAAACGTCTCTCCGGCATTATTCCAATCGTTCGGTAACATTTTGGTCACTCGGCAAAGTTATTCGTGTTAATGCCTTAGAATAGCAAGAAAAGGGTAGGGAAAGAGCGACAAACATTCGTACAACGTGATCATAAAGATTATTTTGAGGAACGAACGAGTTTCTATACTTTCTGCGCTTTTGTGACAAACTATTTATAAACTTCATGAAAGTAAAAATAGTTAGGTATATTATCGTAGACTATAATTGTAAATAATTATGAATAATTGTAGATCATAATAATGAAAGGATAACAAAAAAATTGTTAAGTATTAGGACTTCAAGTGAGATAATTTTGCAACAATTGAATATTTTTGATTAATTTCTCTTATGTGTCAAATCGTTTAAATATTTTTTAAATATTTTTAATGTTGAAAAATATTGATTTTAATATAGTTTCAAATGTTTCTATACTTTTTTTAACTATATATATATATATATCTTAAAAAAAATCTGTGAGAGATTCAATAATCTCATTTAATTCTTTAAGTTTCTGGATTTTGAAATTATAAGAGTTAAAGGTAAATAATAATAAAGAATTACAATGAATCAATTTTATTTTTGAAGTTTCAAACTTGTTTCAAGCTTTTAAGAAATATTTATTAAGTGCAATAATGAATCTTTGGATGATACCCAACTTCAGAAATCTAATTTTGTTAATAGCAAGAAATCTACGCATAACGTATGATTTTTGATCGCTCTTAAAATTTTCACATAATTTATTAAATACTTATTTTTTCTGCTTTTAGAAATATACTTCTTAACCAAAAACAATTGTTTTTCAATCAACGAGAAACATACATTTATATTTATATTATAAGTAATAAGATACTTGAGAATTTTTATACAAAATGATATAGTTGATCTCAGATTACAGGAGATATTAGATTAATCAGTAAAAAAATTCAAGATA